TACGAAAAAATAGATGTCGACTGATCAACGACTAACTGATATATATCTGATATACGTACGTGCGTACTGTATGTAGCAACTCCAAAAAAGCAACTCAAATCAACAATATCACCATTTTAATATTAATTCAGAAGAATAAACCAGGTTTAGGATTATGATACGTACAGTACGTACATACGCACTTGCATTATGCGAAGAAAGAGTATAGTAAAGTATATAATACGGTTTATACCAAAGCTATTTTTCCTACGTATAACATATATTTAAATGAAAAAGAACAATAAAATTAAATTTACAATTCTCTGTTAACCGTACGTACTTCAGTCAGGTATAAGTTATAAGTTTCGTACCAGGTACGTGTGTACGTACGTACGCCCACCCTGTTCTTATTTTACTAGCAAAAAGCACGTGAATGAATGAGAAATATGCATAAAATTTCACGTGTATATGTGTGAAATAATAACTCTATTGTAAAGTTATTATAAAAAACGTCACCCGTCTGTTTCGTTATAATATATAATATACGTATCATTATATACCTTGATTCTTTCCTTAAAACCTCACATGAAAACTTATCACACAAGTATATGTTCGTAACAATGCCAAAGGAACAAGGCTCTATCGGACTAAGGTCTCGTGCTGCTAGATCTAGCGCTAGTACTTCAAAAGACGTGCCTGAGGAGCGAACAGCAAAAACTAATTCTTCGAAATCTACAAAGGTCAATGCAAGGTATGCTTAGAAGTGTTCAAATGGGTGAAAGCGCGTGTTTAGGTCATGGCATATAATACTTTGAACCACTACGTGGTTAAGTAATCATGCACAGATTATATTCCAAAACTATGTAACTCAAAAGTTATATTAGGCATTGGTCCAACTTTGTTCTATCGGACCTATAAACCGAAACTTTGGCCTTATAGATTCCAATTGGCACGTATAAATCCAATTATTGGACTTATACTTATGTGCAAAAATATAAATGTCCCAGTAATTCTTTAATATGTTTTAGTAACTCTTTAATATGTTTTTTTTTTTAGTTCTACTCGCTCAGGAATAGCTTTTATTGCCTTTTTGATTGTGCGTTTAACTGCAGCTTTTTTTTCTAACATAGCTGATTGTGATGAAGTAAGCTTGTTGAATGCAAATAAATATTGGATTTTATAAATTTCTTTACAAGTATTGTCATAATAGGTATTCAATTATTGGGAGCCAACGCACTATTTACAGTATGGATACGGAATGCAAACATGGGAGTATTCTCCGGAATATGCTATAAGAAGTTGGGCATATATTAAATTACACGCAATAATTGGTGGAATATTCGACTTCGTTTTCAATCACGATAAGGTACTGTTGAAATTGACACTAAAAGTTGCTTTCATTTTAACTGACTTATTTTAATTTAAAAGATCAAGGTCTTTTATGCTATACGTGCGACCTTCGCTGTAGTATGTGCATTATCCGAATCGATGTTTTACATCGCTGCGTCAAGTCATTTGGGGCCACGTGTTGGACGTTATTTGATAATCGCAATGCTTTTTAGCGCAGGAATGTGGAATGCATCTACTGGTAGGCTAATTGACAAATTAGAATGATTAATTATATAAATCTCTTAAATATTTATACATTTCAAATTATCAGCATATCTTCCTTCCACGTTCACGATGTACACAACTATGGTAGCTTTCTTTTATGCACTTATGCCAGTTTCAACGACTTCTGGGCGCAGAGTTCATCGAACTATTTTTTGGGTTGGCCTAGGATCACTTTTAGGATGGCCTTTTAGTGCTGCTGTGGGGATTCCTGCTGCATTTGAAGAACTAGTGCTTCGAAATGCTTTAAAGAAGCCATTTGAGAGAATTCGACGCTTGATTTCCGGAGTTATTACTTCCTTATGTATAATACTGGTATTATTGAATATAGATTTTTAAATATGAGATACCGACCATATTTTCGCGTAATAATGCTCATGGCATTGTTTAGAATAATGGTCCGAATTAAGATTAATTTGGGCCAAAATTTGTAATTATGCCCCTGCGCGTTATTTCGCAAAAATTCGGTACAGTCAGACCTCTCTAAATGTAAATGCATGGCCCCAACTCATATGACACTTATAGATTTTTACCTCCCTAAATGCAATATCTTTCTATGCATTTATAGAGGTCTGACTGTAGTTAATTAGCCTTCATCTTGACAAAATCTAACCTTAATTTTCTGTAAAAGATTCCACTCGCATTGGCAGATTACTATTTTTATAAAAAACTCAACATAGTTCCGTGGAACATTATTGCATACAATGTTTTTGGTGGAAAAGATCGTGGCCCTGATATTTATGGTACTGAACCTTGGCATTTTTACATTATAAATGGCCTCTTGAATTTTAACATCATGTTTATAATGGCTCTCATTAGTTTACCTGGCTTGGTATGTATCTGTAATGTTTGTTTCCAAAAGATTAATTACTAAAGGATCTAACTGCATGTATATATATTATAGCTAGTAACTGTTTTAGTCGACAAGCAACGTATTTCCTCTTCACCGACAGCTGGTTCTGTTTATGCCTATTCTTACCTTTCTTTCAGACTTGTGCCTTTTTATGTGTGGCTTCTCGTCTTTATCGCGCAACCTCATAAGGAAGAAAGATTTTTGTTTGTTATCTATCCTTTGGTGTGTCTAAACGCCGCCGTTGCAATATTTTTAGTCAGAGGATGGGTTGATAAATTTCTTTTAGCTTTATCAAAAAATATTCCATATGGTGTAAGTAAACTCGCTTATAACCTACTTTTGCTAACTTGTTGCGTATATTTCTCTAACCTTCTCAATTTGATCAAAAAACAGATTAATCGGCGGTGTTATTTAAAACTTTTTACACTCATCATCTTTTTTATTTCTGGTGTAACTTCTATTTCTCGTGTTCTTGCACTTTGTTTTCATTATAATGCACCGATGACGATTTACAGACATTTTTATTATGTTGAAATTCCCCAACAAGTCGAAACTCATAAGCTTCAATTGAACCTCAACAATCCAATAAATCTCTGTATTGGAAAGGAATGGTATCGTTTTCCTAGTCACTATTTCTTACCAGATGGCGTTAGGCTGAGATTTTTGAAGTCAGATTTCAGTGGACAATTACCGAAATACTTTTT